TGTTCTAGTAAGTTTCCTAACCTCAAATTGGGTCTCGGCACGTTTTGAGGAAGCTCCGCGCAGAAGCCATAACCTCAAAGAGGGTCTTGGCGCGTTTTTGGGGAGCTGCGCAGAAACTAGAGTGACTGGAGAGTAAGAGCATCTGGTGTTTGTTGAAGGTAAGTCACTAGGTTACTAGATCTAGGGATTTTTTTAAAAAAGCTTAGTTTTCATGAAAGAAAAAGTCACTAGATCTAGGGATTTTTTTCAAAAAGCTTTGTTTTCATGAAAAAAGTCACTAGATCTAGAGTTTTTTCAAACGTCGTTTTCATGAAATTAGAGTCACTGGATCACTAATTTTAGGGATTTTTTATAATTTCGCGGTCTAAAACTTAGTTTTTATGAGCGTAAAGTCTAGTTCGCAAGTTTAAGGCCTTGTAATTCAAATTTCGCGGTTTTAAACCTAGTTTTCGTGAACGTAAAATCAATTTCGCAAGTTTGAGGCCTTTTGATTCAAATTTCGTGGTGTAAAACTTCGTTTTCAGGAAGTTAAAGTCACTTTACGCGACTTTAAGCGTGTCGCTGTAATTTCCGCGATGTCGAGAGTGCGGGAGAGGCGCGCGCGCTCGCCGCGATTCAGCGAAAGCAGCACGGATACCGAAGACTCGGACGTTGTGTACGAAGGCCAGCGGTTCCCGGAAGATGTCGCCGCCGCCGAGTCGGCCCACGAAGAGTCGCCGGACACGTCCGACGACGGGCAGGGCGTTCATCCGTTAATACGGGCCCTGTCCCCCGTAACGCTGAGCGTCGAAGACGTCGATAACTTTAAGAAATACGAGAGAACGTCGGACTTTGACTCATACGTAGTGTCGTGTTTAACCATGAAACCGTTTAGATGCACCACCGTGTGCAAGGTCGACACGAAACCGACGAGAATCTTCGTCTGCAAGAACACGAAGCTAACGTGTTATTACATGAAGAGGAACAACTTTAGACCGGTGCGCGAATCAAACTTTAAAGCGTGCGACGAACTCAACGCAAGGTCGACGTTCTACGAAACGCAGATCGCCACCGCCGACTCTAAACCGATGCACATGTTGTTCCAAATCGATCGACAGTCCCCGTTCTTCGACGACGTTCCCGAAGACGAGCATTTGCGCGCGGCAGTAAATGCGTTCGTGAGAATAATTATAGCGCGAGCCGCTCGAAAATTCCCAGACGACTGCGAAACCGCGCGTGCCGGGATTAAATACTTGGTGGCCGACGTAGACCGCGTGTATAATATATTCGAGGCAGATTTCCAACAATTCACCGAGTTGTTGACCAGGAGCATGAGTAAAAGGAACATCAGAGACAGGTGCGGGATAAACTTCTTAAGGTTCTACCAAGCCGAGCACGGCCTTCGATTGGCCAGATACAAGACGGAGGGCATCTTTATTGTCTCGATAACGGAAGACCACCCACACGTGGACGTCATTCAGGTCCACATCGCGGACGTAATCAGATCCCGGGACGACGCGGCAATCGTCGTAAAATTGACGGGGAGCCAGCGCGATTCTTTGCAGAGCGTATACGCCAACTCGATAAAATTGGGAGCGCGCCTAAACAGATACCGCGTAGGATTCCTACACGGTTACGGCTACTTCGCTTGCCACCAATCGCCGCGACAGAATCGATTCGTAACGTTCGCGCAAGGATACTGTTCGGCGGCCAAGATGGCGCGTGCGGCCGACTCCGGGTTCGTCGCGGCGTACACGCTGTGCCGCGGATTCCGCGACGGCGGTCACGAATTCGACCCGGTGAGAGCGAATCTCATTCAATATCTGTGCGATCTGGACAACTACACCGAAAAATACGTCGTTAAAGATCAAGCCCTCCGTATTGAAGAGGTGCTGACTTTTGACAGGAGACGCATCGATGAAACAATGACGGAAGCGATGATTCAAAATCGCGTGTTCCAAAATGATAAAATATGCTCCACCACCGAGATGTTGTTGGAAAATGGCGTCGTAGTACAACTCAACAACTGGAAGAAACACGTCGATCAGTGCGTGTCCCTCGACCGTGAAGTTCTCGGTCAAATTGAGTCGTGCAGCTACGACGAATACGCCACCGACCCATGGGTATCGCCGTCGTGGATAGTATTCGGAATACACGCCGACTATCGTTTAACCTATTTTGTGCACGGTGCGGCGCGGGTGCATAATTATCAGATAACACGTGCAATGATGACCGGCGCCGGCGGGACGGAGGGCAACTCGGTCGATAGAGGAGTAGTTGTCCTCAAACCGACCATCGATTCCAGAATAATTAACGTGTATCCGTTATATTCGTCCAACATTAACGTCATGTACATGAAGCCAATTAAACATCAATGGCTCGTTACAACAACAACGGAGAACGTAGCTTTCAACGATGACGGAACGTTGAAAGGAGACATTGTTGAAATGCAGTTGAAATATCTCATGGCGTCCTACGCATCGTGGGCGTACGCAAAATGCATCGCCAGTGACGATCAACAGATGGACGATGCCAAGACCAAGGAAAGAGCTGAACATTATTTTCAACATGACACGGATGCGTTCAGCCTTCGCACGCTCACGGACGAGATCTCGCGCCGTTCCTACACAAAGACAACGTGTTTGCAGACGACGAGGAAACCAGTACTACCGCTGGACATAGCGAGAGAGATGGTGCGACCGATGCACTCACCGTTCGCAAAAATTGTCCGAATGACGTTGCGCGTCGAGAACGAGACGGAGATGATTGCCGCAGTTCGCGATTATATAGCCGATCACGCGCAAGTTTTTCCGCAATACCTCGTAAAAGGACGCGAGTTTTTCTATTCGTGGGCAAGAGTAGAAAAGGATGTGGCGGACGACACGGTATCCTACCGAACGCTGCGCGAAGCAATGTCAACGGCTCGTGGCGTAAGACGCAGCAGAGGATCGCGAAGATCCAGAGCGTCATCGCGACACCGCTCGCCCTCGCCAACACCCTCGGCAACCTCCTCGATACCCTCGGCAACCTCCTCAACACCCTCAGCGGGAACGAGACTGTCAATGGCGAGAATGACGCTGAGCGATCGGTCCGCAATGCCCGCTCCTCTGCCGCCGCCATTACGAAGATCGGCGAGGCTCTCCGCGCGAGAGTCGGAGGCTACGCAATCAGACGTCAGCACGGCTAGCAATAAGCCAAGGAGAAAAATGAGAATGAGAGTGTCCCATTTTAACGAGACAATGGACGTCGCGCTCATACGACACGCCATACAAACATGCTCCGTGAGCAATCTCACGTCGTGGTCGTGCTTGAAAGAAACACTGCCAAATCTGTTCTCCGCATTTACACCGTCGACAATGCGGTACAGAATAAAACAATTGAGTTCCGGACTATACAAACAAGAATTCGGCGAAAAATACAAGGAGGAACTCGAACAGTTGCGCGTACTGGTGAGACACCAGAAGTGGTAGACGTATGTACATAGTGTTGATAGAAAACAAGAAAATACAAAAAAATATAAAAAAAAAGAAAGAAAATGCCTTGTAAATAGTAGCAAATAAGTTGTAAATAGTTAGAGGCCAACTTAGCACTTAAGTTTCCCAACATCCCCCTCTCCTATTTCAACTTCCTTTTCCTTCCCGTTCCCCTCCCCCCCCGCCGATGTGGCCGCCACCTTGTCGCGGTGGCGGGGCTTGATCGACCAAGAACGGCCACAATTTTTAGGTTTTTTTCAAAATTTTTTCAAGTCCCAAGGGGTCTTTTAAAAAAAAATGCCTAAAAAAGGGGGGTCCGAAACGACGGTCTCGACATTTGGAATCGCATGGCATAGGTCCTGGAAAAGATATTTTTTCAAAGTTACCCCTTGGAACTTGTAAATTTTCAGTTTCGACCCCCTCGTCCAAGAGTACAGAGCCCAAGGGGGGGTAGGGAAGGGATGGAACCTGGGGGGATGGATAGTCCTCCTCGAGGGGACCAACTTTCCCTCAGGTCCCACCCCCCCAGTCCACCCTCTTGGAAGCTACGATAAAGATTAGTAAAGTGCCAAAATCTACCCCTCGAAGGAGTGGTCGGGGGGGGATGGGACCTGTGCCAAAGTTCGAGTTGTGAAAAATCTCTTTAGGTTCCGTCATAAAAAATTTTGACAAAATTTTCAAAAATTCATAAGTCCCGAAGGGGTGGTAGAGGGGGGATGGGACCTGGGGGGATGGACGCGTATGGTCAAGGGCTACCTTCAGTTTTCAGACCCCAAACCCCCGACCCTCCCCTTAGGAGTTACAGCCCAAAAACCAAAATTCCCAATTTCAACCCCTTGAAGGAGGGTCGGAGGAGGGGGGGACCATGACCAAAATCCGTTTCATGAAAATCTCTTTCATATATGCAATAAAAAAATTTTCCAAAAATGTGTGTATCAAAGCATTGCTGTAACCCTAACCTACAAACCGATATGGGGAAGGAATTTTACAACGCCGACGTGCAACGTCTCGTGAAGAAACATGGCATCAATCATTATTCCACATATTCGGTATTGAAGGCATCGGTCGTCGAACGATTCAATCGCACGCTCAAGAACGACATGTGGAAGATGTTTACGCTCAATGGAAATTACAAGTGGGTCGACGCCTTGCCGCGACTCGTATCGGATCGAACCATCGGCATGCGACCCGTCGACGTTACCCCCGCGATCGCCGAAAAACTCTTGGCTACCGTATACAGCGCGATAAAAATCGCGGGTCCGGCAATATTCAAAGCGGGCGACTCGGTACGCGTCAGCAAATACAAGACGATTTTCGAGAAGGGTTACACACCGAATTGGACCACCGAGGTGTTTAAGATCGTTAAAGTGCAGCGTACCAATCCCGTAACCTATCTACTCGAGGACTATCGTGGAAAATCCGTCTCTGGAGGGTTCTACGAACACGAGTTGCATCGCGCGACTTATCCGGACGTGTATCTCGTGGAGAAAGTACTGCGCAGGAGGGGCGACGAGGTTTACGTTAAATGGCTGGGATTCGATGGATCGCACAACTCATGGATATCCAAGGATAATGTTATTTAATTTTGTGCCAACTTTTTTTTATTCATAACATAAAAATATGCAATATGTAATACATGTAAATGTTTGAAATACACATATGTGTGCAATA